CATTCATAATATTTTGTGGAAATTCATTCACATATATACCAAATAACAAAGGACCAAGAACCGAACCTTGGGGAACACCTAATTTAATATTATGAGTTTCTGATGTAGAGTGAATTTCTCATACCTATATTATATAATTTTTCTATAAGAAACTGATGATTCACAGTATCAAAAGCTGCGGAGAGATCAATGAATAGAGATAGAACATACTGGCCTTTATCCAGATTGGAATATACATATTCCATTAAATAGCAACATGCTGTTTCAGTAGATTTATGCTTCCTAAAGCCATGTTGTGAGTCTGTTAAGATCTTATGTCTGTCTAAGAAGCTTTATATTCTGTTGTAGACCACTCTTTCCAAAACTTTTGATAATATACTTAGAACTAATATTTGTCTGTAATTTTCTATATTCTTTAAATCATCTTTTTTATGCAGACGTAGAACTGATGCCATTTTCAGTACATCAGGAAACTAACCTACTTCTAATGACAAATTAAATAGATATACTAAAAGTTGTGTGTTTTAACACCTGGATTGTTATTTCATCAAAACCACTTGATTTTGTATAATGTTTTTAATTTCAAGTTTAGTTACAGGCTCAAATAAAATTGATTGTTCAATACTATTTGTTAGAGTGCAAGGTAGTGCTAAGTTGGAACCAAAATGGCTTACAAGTTTATTTTTCAGCTTGTGTAGAGAAATGATCTACAAATAAATTAACAATTACATCATCTGTTAAATTGTTATCAAAATTTAATACAATTTTATTACTACTAATTTTGTTTCTGCCAAGTTTATTGTTTATAAGTCTCCAGGGTTCTTTATATTTTGGGTTTATTATTTTTTTTACCGTAATATTGTGTTTTGGCTTCTTTTATTTTATTTCTGTAATCCTGTTTCCTCTTATTATATGTTGCTTTTCCACCTTAATTGTTTTGATGGTTAATATGATAACACATTTCTTTCAGTTTTTTACTTTCATCAACTAATTCTGGGGATAACCTACTATTTTTAGGTCTTACTACATTATATTTGTTATACCTTTTGACAGGACAACTAACATTAAGACACCAGGCTATATTTTCTAAAAACAATTCAAAAGCTTCTTTTAAATCTAAATTAACTAGATCTGTCCAATCTATTTTACCCAAATGGTAGGTCATCTCATTGAGATTGCTTTCAGTAAACAATCTGGTGCTTATTTGCATAGACTTTACCGGATTTGGTTTATTTCTCATTGAAATTGAAATAACAGTGGCAATGATCGGCAATGTTATTATTTGTCACTTTGCACCTTTAACATTTCAAATGGTATATTTGTGACTGCATAATCAATACAACTGGATAATGTCTGACCATTTTTGCCCGTAAACAGCCAGGTGGGTTCATTTGTTACAACTCTCAGCTCAAAGGAGTCAAAGATATCAATTAATATTTTTGTACTTAGTATTTTATTATTAAAATCTAAATTTATGTCTCCACATAATATAACATAGTCTGATTTTGCTGCAGCAATTGTGAGGGCTCCCGATAGTTTCGATGCTAAAACATTTATATCACCAGTTGGCGGTCTATATATTGCAATTAATATAATTTTTATTTTACTAGCACTTTGGTATAAAATACTACACATTTCAATATGCATCGCAACCGATAGTTTATAGATTTGATCCAAATTAATAAAATCTATACCAGGTTTTGCCAAAATAGCACACCACCATGTATATGAGTACTTCTAACATAATGAGAAATAAGATTAAAGCCAGGAAAGTTAAGATTAATTATATCATATTTTAAAAATATTATACAGGGTGTCCCATAATAATTAAGTACCATCCTTCAAGGGGGTGATAGAATTAGAAAAAATAAGTTGAGTTTTGTATATAAATATTTGCCTTAAAGCATAAGGGAGCTACAACCCTATAAAGGGGGTAAGTAGAACATAGTTATTTGCCAATAAAAAAGGTGCTCTTACTAAATTTTGACAGGAGCCATCGTTTTGGAGTTATTTATATTTTAATATTGCAATATAGGATAAGTATACAATATTGAATAGGTAACTACATACCTTGTCATACATATTCATTACTATAGTTTCAAAAATTTCATGCATATATATTCATTTCTATAGTTTCTGCAGTTCCCGTTTGGCAAGTGCAATCTCGCACTTCCTGCCGCCATGAAATATGAGATGCCACCAGTCACAATTTTGGTATAAATAGAATCGCTGTAGCAAATAAAATAAATTCAGTTTTCAACTGACAACTACCTTCAGCACGCTTAGTTGGGTGGTTGAAGAGTCTTAAGAGCATTAAGTTTGGCCCCATTTGGTTACAGTTCAGAATCTGATGCTTTTTTTCGCTACAAATATAAAAAAAAAGACAAAAAAGTTGTGGCGAAAATTCACCTTCACCCCTCTGTAAATACCCCAATAAACCATGATATTTAGATAAAAAATTAACAAAACATGTAACATGAAATTAATAATAAATGGTCCAAATTTAATTTTTGCAAGGCGTTTCAAATTTATTGGTAATTAACTATGTTCTACTTACCTCTAAGGGGTTGTAACTCCCTTATGAACTCATTTAAGGCAAATATCTATATACAAAACTTATTTTTTCTAGTTCTATCACTCTATTGAAGTAAGGTACTTAATTATGAGACACCCTGTAAAGCAAATTTAGTTTTATTTATCATCATTTACCTCTTGTTCTTCATAATCTGAGAAAAGTTCAACATGTACATTTTGTTTTTCTTCAGTCGTTCCAAAAACAAAGAAAGGACTGTATATCAATTTGTACAATGTGTCCAACATATATCCTCTATAATGAAGCATTGTCGATCGACATGAATTTGCTACTAATTGTCCATGCTTGCCCCTAAAGTCGACACACACCATAAACATACCTGAAATTCATAATATATTATAAACGATTCAAACAAATGACATTACTGATTCTCCACATTGAGATATTGTAATGAAATTCGATACTTAATGAGTGGGGTTAAAATTATTTTGGTCATTAAAAACTTGGAATATAATCACTGATGTAGGTACAGAGGCTGAATTATAAATTTACAAAGAAAATTTCATGATAGGAGGACACATTCAAAAATACCAGAAGTTCGCACAAGAATTAATAATTATTGTGTCCTCCTATCATGAAATTTATATTATAATCGAGTTTCATAGATCTTCATCATTTTCTATGGGGGTGGTATAGACTATTGATTTTAAATGCCCCCCCAAAAAAAAAAAAAATCAAATGATAAGATCTGGTGATCTAGATGGTCATAACTGTGGTCCTTCTCGACCAATCCAGCGAACAGGATATGCCATGTCCATAAATTTACACACTATAATGCTAACATGTGCTGGGGCATAATCATACATACACTGTATAGCTCTATTTATTATAGACAGATTTCTCAACATACTAGACAGTTCCCCTTCCATAAAAATCTGAAAATATTCGCGGGTGAGTCATACAGTAACAAGCAGGGTCCAATGAGAAAATCACAACAATTCCAGCCCATACATACACTGATAACCAGGGTTTGCCCGATTTAAATTGTTTGATTTAAATCATGATTTAAATCCATGATTTTAATGAAGTGATTTTTTTTATTTTTATCGATGATTTAAATCAAAAGAAAATTCTGAAAATAAAAATACTATTTATTATAAAATATAAATCAACCATTAACATTCCCGATAAATAAGAAACGTTTTAGTACAAAACAGATATTTTCTAAAACAATTAACATTGATTTTCAATATAAAATTTCTATAGGAACACTAATTGTCCTGCTTCCTCCACTCATTTCGTAAATTGTAGTAAACGAGCTCAAATGTAGAAAATACTCTTTCCACCGAAGCTGACGAAGAGACAGCACATAAAAATTGCTTCCGTATAGGAAGAAAATTGTCAATATCAGGGATGCTTTTTTGTGAAACCCACCACTGTAAGGCACTAACAATGCATATTACCTCTTCTGAAAACACAACTGCTGTAAGGTTCCATTTTTGCTTGATTTTATAATGAGTGGTAGTAAACCACTATTTTCATACATCTCTTGCATGGTATTTAACGCTTGATCTTTTTTCTGCGGCAGTCAATTTAAATTTGATTTTAGTTACATCCAAAATGTAAGATACAAAATGATAGGGTATAAGTACCTGTTCATATCGTTTTTTAAAAATATGTAGCTGAGACAAGGGTAATTCTAATTCTTCCTTAAATATTATTTCTAATTCCTTCCATACTTATACTGCATCAGATAGGAAAGCATTTTTTTTATAATTTATCACAGCTTTAGGCTTTAAGATGTTTAGGCAATAACAAGTATCGTCAATTGAAAGTGACCGTCGCACGTCGCCTGAAATGAAATTAATGAAACCGACCGCCAAGCTTGTCAGAACAGGAAAATGTTGATTTTTTATCATTTGTAATGAAAAGATAGACAGATAGACAATTTTTCCAGTGACGTGAATAATTTATATGTGCAAATTGGTAGTTAGAGAATACAAAAAAAATAGTGTATGGAAAAATCGTACTTGTTTTAAAAAAATTAGAGTAAAACTGAAAAAAAAAAATCAAAAAAAAAAACCTGATTTTTTGATTTAAAAAAAAAATCATCAGTTTTTCCAACCCTGCTGATTACTGATATTAAATTTTTTTCTCTATTATTTCTCTACTGATTCATCCAACAATCAAGTAAGATTTTTAGGTCTCCAGAGTTAGACAAACTTGAAACTGACTTGTAAAAAAGCTTGAAAACCATAGTAACAAAATAGAAAAAAATAGTTTTTGTAATAATTTCTTTATTATGCTGTCGATTCAAAAATAAACTATTAGCAGATTCATAGTTTTATCCCTTTTTCTCGTATTACTCAAACTCGATGCATTTTATCGATATACAGAATTTTTTTTTGTTAGAACAAAATTTTCATAATATGGGAATGAACTCAGAAAAACAAGCACTCCATCATGTAGCTTCATGGTCAAGTGGTAAGGACACTTGTCTCCCATCCTGGAGTCCTGGGTTTGATCCCCGATTGAGAAGCTAGGATTTTTCTAAACCAGAAATTAATCCTAGCATACTCGGACATTGGGTGTGTGGCCATTGTCTCTAAATGTGTAGCCCTCTCCCACACAAGGTACCTTGAGGTACCTTCAGGGATACAGGGTGTTCTATTACCTGTGGTACAATAAATCTGTTACTTGCAAAGAGGCCTACAGTTTAGGAAGAACTCTAGAAGATCCCAATTTTGCATTTTTTTCTTAATTTATTTCACAAAATCTTTCCACATGTAGACATATTATTTAATCAATTTCAAGCCAGAAATACACAGTATTGAACTTAAAAAAAAAAGTTTGAGATTGAAAAAATTATATTACCTATTAGAAATTCAACTGATGAGATAAAAAAAGAAATTACTAATATTTTGAATGTGAATAAACGGAGAAAAATTAATCCTGAAAATAGAAATTCCGTAATTGCTTAGGAAGTGTGGTGAAATAATTTTTCAGATGAAAGATTGTCATACAGACGTCATTTAGAAGCCGCATCTTTAGTGAATGTAGACAATTTTCTTAATTATTCAAAGAAATTTCCGACGTCGATTTTCAAATCAGTTGTTGAATCTTGTTATAAGACAAAATAAGGACTGAATTGGAAGTCATTTATTCAAAAACAGATTTTAAAAATATTATAAGTTTAGGTAGCCTAAAGATGCTCTCTTGGCTGTCTGAAAATGGTGTAAATGAAACGTTCAACGAAACGGTCAAGTTACTAAAAGTTATTGTAACGACTCCGATGTCTACTGCTGAATCAGAGATATTTTTTAACTCTTAAAAGAATAAAGACATTTTTAAGAAACACTATGAATGAGGAACGCCTTAATGCCCTAGCAATGATGTCAGTGAATAAGAACTTTATCCATAACATAAGCAATTTTGATGAAAAGTCATAGAACATTTTATTTCCCAGTATGACAGAAGACTTGATTTTGTGTATAAGCAATAACATTTTTACTCGCATTTTTAAGTGATTATTATATTGTGAACTTTTTTTTGTATGTACATAAAACTTTTTCTTTTGTTATCAAAAATCGTAGTTCTACTTGGATGAACTTACCGAAGGACTGAAGGTGAGTCTTTATTATGTTATTAATATTTTTTAAGAAACTAGAGCCCCTAAATAAAATTATCACGAGTCGCCACTGTCTGATTAAGTAATTTTGAATAGAGCGGCTACTTAAATATTAGGTCCATTACTTATTTACTCAAACATATCCAGACATTTGGTATGTCACTCGTGCAGATTATAGGAGCAGGTGCCCACAAAACGATTTTCATGATTCTCTCAAAAACCATCCCAAGTAACACATGTGGTCCTCTTATTACGCTTAAAATTTTATAAGTAATATATTATGGCAACTTATAAAACTAATTGGTTATATTGAAGATTTATTCAGCACTAAATTGGGTGGAATAAGATTGCTGGTAAAACGATCTCACAACATAAATATAAGGCTACCTTATTAAAGCGTCTTCTACAGTTTATTTTTACTTCATAAGAGTTAATAAGATTTTTTTATACTGATACAAACCACGTGGATTTATAACAGGTGTATTAACCTTTATATAACATGTATGCAACTGTTTTACAGATTAGCTATTTCTCGATAGTGGTTATATAACATTAAGTTTTAAAGGCTTTTAAAGCAAAATTTTATCGCAATATAGATTATTTATACAGGATTTCTACGTATAGTAAAAGAAGTATTCTATGAAGTATTTATACAACTGAAATTCTCTTTTGGATAATGCCATACGTAGTTGCAAAGTCCCTAATTTCATTGCGGAGACTAATACTGTGGTGAAGCAGCTCATCGCTTTCGTTCTTTGGCATGATTTAAGTGATCTTTTAAGATGTTATGAGACGGAGTAAGTTTAGCTGTAAAAGAATTCTATAAAGGTGGTTTGTATCTGTATAAAAGATCTTACTAAGCATTTTATGAGGTAAAAAAAAACTGTATAAGATGCTTTAATAAAGTAGCTTCATATTTATGCTATGAGATCGTTTTACCAGCAATCTTATTCCACCCAATTGCTTTATAAGCTATTTAATGAGTGCTTCAATATAATCAATTAGTTCTATAAGTTGCCATAATATATTATTTATAAAATTTTAAGCATAATAAGAGGACCACATGTTATTTGCAAATTCAAGACAAATATAGGGCTGAAATAAAAAAAAGTTCCAATATCATATACCCCTCTAGAACAAAATTGTCATCATGAATTGAATTATTACATAAAATGTGGATTTTTAACAATCAAAATCACCTGTCCAAGGATTTCATTGATATGTCACTGAATGTGAAATTGATCTATGAAGGTTTCATTAGAATACCTTATACATCTTCTCAAAATGCTATTAATGCCACTTCTACACAGCCAAAGGCCAGAGCCATATTATATATTCTAAATATAAATGTAACGGGACAGCCATCGCTATCAGTTCGAGGTGTTGTTAACCTTTTATCACTTGAAAAGGAAAATTTTGCTAAACATTTACAATAATCCCTTATGGAATGTTCAGAATACATGACTGCATTATTTTATGACAACTTTATAAAAAAATAAAAATACATATTTTTTGAATAATTTTTAATATCAAATTTAAAAAATTTTGGAGGCCCATCTGTTATTTCGAAGTAACATAGCATGTTTAAACAGAAAAGTTTTCTTCGCATGACAAGTTTAGTTTTCTACGGACAACAGCATCTACTAATTTGTAAGCAAAAATCTTTGTTCAGTTTTCTAATAATTCGCCATAACAATTTTTATATCGCTATCCCAGCAGAAAACATATTGTCACTAATGTGTGTGTGTGTATAAAATGAAAACAGGCAACTATAACACAGCTGTAATAGTGTAAAAAGTATTTTTTAAAGTTATATTGGAAACCATAACTCAGTAGTTTTCTTTTACAACAAAAAGTTCTTGCTTCTTAAGCATTTATATACTTTTTTCATTTCAGTTATATCTCTGCAACACAACAACTACAAAGTTACTACATTGGAGTTGCTATAGACACTATAATACGGTTGTTTTATAATTGCAAACCGTACCTCACATATAAAATAATCTTTTACTGCATAAAAGCTTACTTGCAGTCCTTATACAGCAACTTCTTAATAACTCTATAATATGGTTTATAAAAGCTGAAACAGAGATGTTGCTATATTGCTACTTAAGCATTTATGTACTATTTACAAAGCCTACCGAGCCTGTATAAACTGTGCCTATTTGGGGTATATAGATACTTCTTTAATACTGAAATATTGTTGTCAATTCTTAATTATACAGTATTAAGCTTTATAAAAAGGTGGAGTAGATATTTTTAAAGCTTTTAAAAATCAATTTGTGCTACTTAGGATGTCACCTACAAATAAACCAACAAGTATAACTTTTTTATGTAAAATTGATATCTACATCTACCCAGTGTATTAAAACTTTTTGGAATTAATAAACAAAAAAACTATGGCCAAATTTATTTATAAAGAGTACATTCCGCAGTGCCCTACAACAACTAAATATTCAATTGAATCAAACATAAATATCACCTACCTAAATTCTGTGAAAATATTGCAAAAAAACTGTTTCCGGTGTCCCTCGAAGAGATCCTATTACCGTTATTAAAAATTGAAATAATTCAAACCAAAAGAATATGTGCCCCTTAATTTTCATTCCCCTAGATGCGGTTAAATTGTTTTACCATATTTATAAATTTATTTTCAAGAAATAACAATTACATATTTTGTTCTTTCATGGTTTTGCAGAATCTTAACGTTTTTATCATAATAAACTCTCCCTTTCTTCACATTATACAAATCATTTTCACTGATCAAACTATGCACAAGATTATTATTATTTTAATAATCTTACAGATTATTTCTACTTTGTCAAATTAACTCCATAAATAATTCTTACTTTTATCTAAGCCTATAAATTATAAATAATTTATGGCATTATTTTTTCACAATAAAATCCAACACAATTTGAAATATTGGGATCATAATATGGCCTGACTAATTAGACACCTAGTACTAAAATAAAGTAATTAGTGGGAACTCGTATAAAATTAATAATAAAATAACATTATCTTTATAAACATCTTTTTTAGTACTTACTTTGATAGCAAAGTGCATTTGCAACAAATAATTTAAACATGAATTTGACTTAACACCGAAAGCATTTTATATAGATTTACGTTTTTATATTCATAGAGGACAGAATGTATTATAGACCGAAAATATATAGTAGAAATAAAAACTGCTGGGGGATTCGTTACCCATATAATTACAATCTGATATCTTTTGTGCAGGTACTGGCTAAAGTATACTGACCAATTTTTGTTTCAGTTCTTATTCATACTATATGTTTTTAGTATACAATACAATGAATACCAAAATCTAAACAATTTCCTGTAAGTGTGGCATAGATAATTTTACCTGTAGAAAATAAACTGAAAATCCGACTTAGTGGTCAGTTCTACTTTCTGAGATATGAAGGTATAAAGAGCCTCAAATTAATATTTGTTCACTACCAGAAATTTAACTTTTTTATTAATATCTTTTCTTATCAAAGATTGTTATACTTAAAATATTTCCACATATATCTACACATTATTCATATTTGGTTCCCCCCATTTTGTCTCTTAAACTTTAATAAGATAAATAATCAATTTGATAATACTGGGTTAAATAGAACACATTATTTATATGCATTTGGTTTTTGTTGAATTAATTGTAAAGATGTAAACACAATGAACACCCTTATGTCAATTAGAATAAATCTTGCACTTCACTAATAAATAGTTAATCATAATGAAGAGTCTCGGGGTCTGCAACCTGCATATCTAAATTATGTGTAATAGAGTTCCATAAATTACAGACTCCAATTATATTAGACTACGAACATTGCAGACCTGTATTTTACACATAGATATCTGCAAATTCATAATTTACTTATTTAAATTGTTAAATAGATTCATTA